TAGCATCCCCTTTCAGAACCCCTATATTATCCCCTATTTCACCCCCCTTTGAGAAGTTTAGATTACAGCTTATATATTCCCTAGAAAAACCCCTTTACAGGGACCGTATATATTCCCTAGCACACATAAGCTCCTGGATTTGAATCTCCCGCTCCCGACGGTATAGGATGGAGACGAAGCCACTGGCATAGAGGAAGGGAATCAGGAAGCATGAGGGTTCCCAAGAATTGCGGGTACCTTATTTTTAGGAGTCCCCATAATATGGATCATACTATTTTGGGGTCCATATTGGGGCCTCTTATTTGGGGAGACTGCCACATGCAACCCATGGGGGCATCTGAGGTTTGGGTGTCATTTCGGATCCATCCAGCGATGGATGAGGGAATGGTGTCCTGAAAGCTCACTTCTGACCATGTAGGGGTTTAGGGTCTAGGGCTTTAGGGGCTTCGGGTTTCAGGTTTGGGGTGTAGGGCGCAAGCCAGCCTGAATTTTGCAACTTCTTCTCGCAAACGACGGATGTGATGGTTCCGAGCTGCTACGAAGGCCTTTCCACGGAGCGGCCGTGCACAGACGAGGAATCCTATGATTACTGCTGCTACATAAGCTATAGTCTAAACTCCTTTAAGGGTGTTATACGGGGGATTATATAGGGGACTGATATAAGGCTTATAATAAGGGGGATACTAGAAGTTAGAGTATAACTTACATGGCTGTTGATTTTGCAATTTCTATTGTCACCGCTCGTACTCTCATTTTTACTCCTCCCTTCTGATACTGTTAATCTAGTACTAGTACTTACAATAACTATTACTATTATGATTACAACTATTATTGCTTTGACTATGGCTATTACTGTTACTGTAATAGTATTTCTAGTACTATGTTTATTAGTATTATTTCGGATACTATACTGTTGAGCCTTGGCTTGCATTCGAGCTGTGAGTTGCTCGCAGCATCTGCTGAGCAACAGCGCCGTGTAGTTGCAGGCCACCTGTACGTTTAGGGTTTAGGGTTTAGGGGTTTAGGGGTTTAGGCCGGGGTTTAGGGTTTAGGGCTTGAGCTTAGCAAATAAGGGTTTAGGGTTGTTCAGGGTTTAGGAGCAAATTTCGGATTACGAATGGATAGTAGTTGATGGAGGAATGGATCCCATACTAGGCCCTACAAAAGAAACCCCAATAATCTTCCCTACACCTTTCCTGATGATTTGACATTTGATGCTACACTGTAGATTCGATGTTGTTTTCCATTATATATCCTTACGTAATCTCAAGATACTAGGGTAGGTTTCATTTTCTTATCCATTGTCCTTATATACCTCCAAAATATTATAATAGATTTCATATGCTTTTCCATCCCTTCATTCCCTACTACAGGGCTGCTGTTAAGAAACTTAGTTACTATATTATGGGCATATAGCAAATACTTGGGTTTCCTGATGGTAGTAGCTTAATTTAAGTTCCTTAACAACAACTCATAAGGATAATGAGAAGAACATAGTAGATTCCATTTCTTGTCCAGGCCTTCCTTCCCTACTACTACAAGTCAGCTGCAAGCACAGCCCTGGCCAGATGTGCCATCCGCTGCCGCGCGGCTGCACGCCGCCAGGCCGCCTCCCGCCATCCCAAGTCTTACTCTAAAAGTTTAGGCTTTAGGGCTTAGGTTTTTTTTGGTTTCGGGTTTAGGGCTAAGTGGTTATTGGGTGTAGGATTTAGGGCTTAGGCTGAGTTAGGATTGGGGCTCATGAACGCCCCATAAACAGTCTCCCAAAATCAACCCTGTAACAGTCCGTAAAATCCCATTTCCCCATGTCGAAGCCAAGCATGCCCGAGAAGTCCAGCAAGACCCAGAAACTCACCTCTGGTTAGCAGGAATGGACTGGATCCTAGCAGTAGTCTCCGTATGACCCCCAAATGAAATAGTAGTTTCCATTGTCTCGTCCATTCATGCTTTCCCTACTTAACCAGAGGCAAGGACTACACCTGAGCGTTGCCTGAATTCGGGTGGCATAGTGATCGTGAAATTGCCGGTCGCTGACATCCACTGCCAGCTGCTGCTGTGCCGTCCGCACGAGGCTCAGCAAGGACCTCGCTTCAGGGATACAGCTCATGCCCAGACCCTTTGTCTAGTGTTCTAGGGTTTTAGGGTTCTAGGGTTTTAGGGTTTAGGGTTCAGGGTTCAGGGATTATGGTTTCAGGGCTTAGGGTTTAGGGACTAGGGTCTAGGGTCTAAACTCCTAGCATCCCCCTTAATAACCCTTGTAATACTCCCGTATATAATCCCCAATATAATCCGTTTGCTTGATATTCGAGGCAGGCGCCGTATGCTGCGGCTTGCAGAAACACTCATCTTCCGGCGCGCCAAGTTGTGGCAGACGCCGCTCGCCGGAAGAGAGGCATGGCTGACGCATTTCGCTAAAGCAGCTTAGCAAGTCTTACAATTTTGGTCTCCATGTGTCGCTGGCATGGCACCAACAGCGGATACACTGCTTTGTGAGTGGTCCTTCGAAGCCACATGGAACTGGGCTGCATACGGAACATGAGTTGAGGGCCATGGTCCAGCTACATTCCACACATGGGCCATCTGCAGCATGTTGCAGTGACAGGGCCTCTTGCAAGCCAAATCCACAAATCTCAGGATGTTGGCAGACGGCTGGATGCCACGCGGAGGGGCGGGGGGCAAGGAAAGGGGCCACAGCACCAAAAATCTAGCATTTCTCCATATTTCTCTCGAGATCTTGCGAAGTCGAAGATCCACCTGCCAGGCTTGCACTTCCGCAAGACGCAATGATGGGTTCCCCTACCCCCCTCTACCATCCGCCAGATTCCCCCTAATTTTCGCGATTTAGGGTTTAGGTTTTAGGGTATAATTCGGACTAACTAGAACTGTGGGGGGGGTCGTACAGGAAGGGTAGCAGCGGAACGCTAAACCGGAAACCGTATATAGAAGTTCCCATCTCATTTTCCATGTGATTTTCCATGTGACTCGCCAAGATTGGGTAAATATCCACGAACCCTATATATCTTTACACATGTATATATACATATATATCCTCACATAACCCCAAAGTATCCAAATTAAAGGGTAGTCACTCAACTCCCGGAAGCTGCGAGCGCAAAGTGGCAAAGAGAAAGCCCTAAACCCTAAACCCTAAACCAGCGCCTCTTGCATTAGAACCTCAAGCCACCAGTCCTGCATCAGCTTGGTGCTTAGGGCTCAGCGCTTTGGTGTTCAGGATTTTAGGATATAGGGTTTGAGCCTTAGGGACTAGGGCTTCGGGTTCTAGGATATAGGAATTAGGGCTCAGCGTTTAGGATTTAAAGCAGAGGGTTTAGGGTTTAGGGTTTAGGGGTTCAAGGGTGCAGGGTTGCTCAAAATAGGATACCTTCGGGGACCCTGGAGATATGTAGGGATTCCTACGGATTATGAGGAGAACTTGCTGGAGAAAGTCCCAGTTATGGTGACGGATGCTGCTCTGCCCAAGAAGCGCCACCAACTTTGGATGTTGGCTCTGTAGACCTAGGTAGGTGTGTTACGAAATACAAGCGCTATCGATTTATAGTAGTTATAGGAGACTACAGTGACTACCGTATGTTATCTGATTCTGGCTGAAGCTTAGAAGCTTTCCCCACCGAGCCCTCAATCCACCCTAAACTCTAAACCCTAAACCCTACACCCTGAATCCTAAACCTTTAACCCTAAACCCTAACCCACTACTTGTGTAGCAGCCTCTCCTGATATTGGTAAGCGGTGGAACATCCCCATCGTGTTGAACAAGAGGTCGTAGGAAGCCTTGGCCGCTTGCTCCGGTGCGCAAATGGCCGAGCTAAACTGGATTGTTGTTAAGGAACTTGATTTGTACTATAGTCTAAACTCCTTAAAGGGGGTTATGAAGGAGATTATATAGCAGAGTCTTAAAGATGTTATTAAGCGGGATACTCGGAGTTTAGACTATGGCTCTTTTAAGTTATTATATTGGGGAAACCATATTAGTTACTATGTATACCCATTATGGTAGCTTAATGTAAGTTCTTCAACAGCTGCCCAGTAGATGCGAAGGTTCTGACCCATGATCTTGTTGCGGCGCGGAATCAGCGCGACGTTTGTAATCGCCTGCGCAGAAAGCGGAAATGCAAAATCTCAAAGCTTCTAAGACTGCAGTTGGGATGCATGACATAACCACTTCAACATGGAGGTTGCCCGAAATTAGGGGTATATACCTTGCTGGGGGTCCCCAGAATAAGGATTCTGGCAGTTTGGGGTCTATATTGGGGGCCCCTAGACCCTCCACCCTAAACCCTAAGCCCCAAAGCTTGGGAAACTACCACATGACTTACCTTGACAGCATCATAGGCGCGGCTCTGCGCGACTGGTGCTGGAGCTCGTTTGCTGAGTGCAAGAAGGAGGTTCAGCCTGGAAGAGGAACACGGTTTAGGGTTCAGGGTTTAGGGTTGAGGGTTTCTTTAGGGTTTACGGTTCAGGCTTTAGGACATACTTTACCTTACTGGTGCTTCAGGGGAAAGGGGGGGGGTGAATGTAAGGACTGTCATAGGGGATTGCAGAGGGTAGAGGGATTTGTACTGTGGTCGACTCCCAACCCTCCCTAAACTCCAAACCCTAAATCTTAAACCCTGAATTAATAAGATATAGCCATCACCATGCAGCCAAGAAAGCAAGAAAAATCAGGCAAGAACAGGAAGATGAATCAGACCATCATTTGGAGATGACCACATGTACCACATACGCACACTTACACCTATTCCTGCTAGTTGCAAATTACCAAAACCAGAGTATAAAAGGTTGTACCTGAACTTCAATGTCATGGCACTTCATTTGAAGTATTCGGCCCGGAAGCCTAAATCTAGATCAGGATCCTTGATTCGGAGGGGGTTGATATAGGGATGGTTGTGAGTATTATCTAGGGTTTACGAGGATCCCCTCCCCCACTCCCCTAAACCCTAAACCCTAAACCCTAAACCAGTAAGTGATGCTTGGAGTGCGGCGCAGACAGCTGGTCCATAGGACTTGCACCCTGAGAGCAGCAGGCAAAGTGCAATTGAACATGACCTTGAACCCTTAACCCTAAACCACGTTTACTGTTCATGTCGTTGGGTTTTTTGGAGAAGTTTGGAGTTTAAGAGTTGAGGGTTGGGTTTCAGATTTAAATTCCTATGCCTACGGGCTTGGGATCTACTATTCAGAGTTGGGTTTGTGCTTGGGTCTAGGGATTGAGGGTTTCGGTTTTAACCCTAAACCCTCAACCGCAAATGATTCCGTAGAAATACGGTAGAGTCTGCAGTGAGAGCTTTTGCCCAGGTTGCGACCCCGAAGCGGTTTAGGGTTTAGGATTTAGGATTTAGGGTTTAGGGGTTTAGGATTTAGGGTTTAGGGGTTTAGGATTCAAGGTTTAGGGTTTGGGGGTTTAGGGTTTAGGGAGAATATAGGGCACGGTAGTTGCGGGACCCCTAAAAGCAACGACCTGATCGAGACGGGCTTAAGGATATTTGCTCGAATTCTAGAATCCCTCCCCAGAAACTAACAGAATAAGAAAAAGGATAGTCATTAGAATCATAACACAGATACATATTACAAGTACAGCTTGGGAAATATCTATCATTCTGGGGATGGGGTATTCGTGGGAGGGGACTGGGGACATCCCTAAGTATGCTTGGGGAGAGCACTGAGGCTGCGACGCTGTTCTCCAGGACCTTGACACAAGCTTCCACAGCGCCTGGCACAGGCTTTCCACTCCGAGAAACACGTCCCCTGAACAGGTTCTCAAGCTTACACAGGGTCCATTTCGCGGTAGGGTTTAAGCTTCAGGCGTCTCTATCCTATGGTTTTGATACATGGCAGACTATAGTCCCCCTTAAGTAGATAGAATATGGCTTTGGGAAAGTTATACTAAGATCCCCATCTACCCCATATTCTATCTACTCAAGGGGGACTATACGTTCAAATATTTGGCAGGTTTGAAGGTATCCGCGTGAGGAGATGCCCAAGTTGGGTACGTACTACACTAGACAGCCCAAGAAAAGGAGGGTTTAGGGTTTAAGGGTTTAGGGTTTAGGGTTTAGCCCTAAACCCTAAACCCTAAACGAGAGTCAAAGGCCATACGACAGCAACTCTAAAGCAGCTGTACCCCTCAAACATCTCGATAAACCCCAACACAAAGGTGTAACATCACACACATACACACACATCCACACCTTAGAGTTACCACAAGAAATAGTAGGGGTCATAATAGTCCTTACTGAAATCCCCTTCAAGAACACTTACTGTAAGAGGGAATTACCCAAGACACACCCCGTAAGCGACAGACCTTGCTCGATGATGTCGGGCAGCATGGGTTCCGGAGCCAGCCGGACCAATTCCAGCAGAATCTACCAACAGACACAGTTTAGGATTTACGGTTGAGGATTGTTGCAAGACTGTGGATGCCATTTTGGGTGTGTGTGTGTGTGTGTGTGTGCGTGTGTGTGTGTGTGTGTGTGTGTGGGGAGGAGATGTGGTAGTTTCCCTACATAGGGGACCCAAATGCAACCCCAAAAAGACAATATAGCCCTTATTATGCGGATCCCCAAAATGGTACCCCTACTTTTGGGAAACCTATGTATGAAGGTGTATATAAGAAATGTCGAGGAAATCCAAAGCTTCAGTTTTCGGCAGTTACAAGGTCCTTGCTTTGGGTTGATGAGGATTTAGGGTTTAGGATTTAGGGTTTAGGGTTAAGGGTCCTAGGGGGCATGGGGGAATGCAACTGCTACTTCCGCCTCTGCTCATGGAGCGATCTGCTGCACTCAACGAGAACAGGAGAAGCTATAATCAATGTACTAGTAGCCCACAGCCCCTGATGCGCTGCAGTGATCCCTACGAACTTGGGTTGTTCCCTCGTAATCCCCTCTCTCGAACCACCTAAAGAACAAAGAGTAGATATTCCCAATATAGTACCGTGATACGCTGCGGATTACTAGAGGGTGGGGAACAGATTAGGCCCCTTCACTGGCTGAGATGTGCCTCCAAAGTCGAGGAATCTTCGGTGTCGTTGGCCAGCTTGCCTGTTTCTAAGGTTGTCCGCATAGACCTATTCCTCCCTACTATCCACCCGTGAATTAAGGTTTAGGCTTTAAGGGCAAAAGGCTTGAAATGTATGGTTTATGGTTTTGGAGGTTTAGGGTTCACACTTTACAGTTTCGAGATGCAGGGCTTTCCCACTGCTTGATGAAGAAAAGCTCAGATGGTTCTGTATACTCTAAGCAGCAAAACACCCAAACAACAAGCACGTTATAAAATGGTCACCATATACAGACCTAACTGGTGCATGAAGATGCTAAAGTTTCAGTATGTTCGGGATCTTTTCCATTTATAGCAAATCTCCGGTCAGTTAGTTTAGGCGGCACAAAGCATAATACTCAGACCGCCTTGCAGGAGCACTATTACCATTATCATGATTGCATGGCAGCAAGTGGACCCCCACATACTTTAATCCTGACAATAATGCCCTCCAAAAAGGCAATCCTCATTTTCGCAACCCCCCGCATTGACAACAGGAGTAATGTAGGAGCAAAGACAATTCATTCAGAAACTCTCATTCAAACTTTGGGGCAATGAGAGGGCCAGGGAGACGGCACCCCGCAAAAAGGATATGTCGTGCATGATGTAGGGCCATGTTTACTCAGAATGAAGTCTTGAGGTGCGCGTTATACTACAATGATGTAAGTACTATGAAGGAATAGCACCACCCCACCCCACCCCTATTATGAAGGAATAGCATGAGGAATTTTTCTGGCTTCTGCATCATGTACTTGCAGTGCCTGGGGCTAAGGGTTTCCAGCACGGAGCTTCGAGAATTTTGCAGCTGCCTGAGCCCTGGAACCCGATGCCTAATATAGTAATACAGGGGGGATGTATAGGGTTTAGGGTTTAGGGTTTAGGGCCTCGCAATAAGCTCAGCCCCCAAATCCCTGATCCCCGGATTTGGGCTTTATAACATCAAGGCCCTGAATTCTCAGAAGGCCGGGTGCCACCAATTCTAGATTCCAGGCTATGTCCATAACAGCAGCTCAGGGCGTGGCATAAAGTGGTCACTGCACCCGCCTTCGAACACGACCGTCATAGGTTGTTCTAGGGATTTAGGCTTCTGTACCAACCGCGTTGACCAATGGTTCGATAGGCATTGCAAATGCCTTCTGTTGGAGGATTACATGAGGCTTCCTTCGGGGCTTGAATCTGTAGAAAAAAAAACATGGGTGTAGGGTCTAAGGTTTCGGGCTCAGGATCAGGGCGTAGGATTTAGGGTTTAGGGCTGACTCTAAGTCGTACTACATGGAAGATCCACTCAGGGCTGTTGATGCAAGCTGGGTTGACAAGAGCTGCAAGAATCGATCAGCCTCAACCACAAAGGAGGCTGGGCATCGAGTAAATGGGCACCTTAGCCATGGATTCAGCAAACCACCATAGCATGACCAACATCCAGCAGAGTAAAGTGCCCGCAGGAACCCGAAACGGCGCAGACATGCGGTGCCCTAATCTCTATAAACCACTACATCTGCAATTCCATTTTCCGTTTCATTGTCCATGTACTTTTCCATTCGATCCTCCATGTTCGGAGGTAGTATCCCTATATGACCACTGTATATCCCCTCTATGAGCCCATAAGCCCCTACTTAACCGCAAGCCCAAGCACCCACCAATCATCAGTGCCAGCAGGGTGTCAATCGCCACAATGCGTAAGTCTTCGTTGGTACTTTGCTCCATGCACTTGAGGATGCCTTCCGTAGGATTTAGGGTGTGGAGTTTTAGAGTTTTGGGTTTTAGAGTTTTGGGTTTTTTGGTTTAGGGTTTTAGGGTTTTGGGGTTTAGAGTTTTGGGGTTTTAGAGTTTTGGGTTTTAAGATTTAAGACTATGGCAAGGGAAAAAAGCAATCATGCCCCGGTCCATGTTTTCCCATTTGATTCTCGAAATATGAGCCTGGGAGTTTAGGGTTTAGGGTTTAGGGCTGGGGGTAGTCCTACAGGATTTGAAGTCCCGAGTCCTGAAGTAAACCTTCTGAACACTCTAAACCCTAAAAGCCCCTAAAAACCAACTTTCCACGTCCTTTCCACTTTATGTTCCATTTTGACTCTCCATTCTTGGTCACAGCCCTAAACCCTAAACGTTAAATACCAGTTTCAATCTTCTGTTCCATTACCCCTATAAACCCTAAACCCTAAATCCCTAAAAAACCTTAAATACCCCTTTGAAGGGACCTAGGGTTTCCCTTCACCCCTTGTTTCTCCTCGCAAGCAGGGTCCAAATCCAACATCCTTTGGGCTGCCGGTGACACATCGCTTAGGATCAGCGCCCTCCACACATGGGTTGAGGGTGTAGGGTGTAGGACCCTAAACCCCAAATCTAGGGTTTAGGGTTTAGCCAGTGACGGATCAAGCTGGGGAATGTAAGGGTTGGGGTTCAAGGTTTAGGGCTTAGGGTTGGGAGTTTAAGGGCTTAGGGATTTAGGATTTGAGGGTTCAGGGGTTGTTCGTGTATGGGGGCCGATCCTAACACATCACACAAACTGTGAATCGAATAGACTGTCAGACGCACGATTTGCCCAGCGGAACCGTTCAAATACCCTTGGCTGTTGGTTGAAACTAATATCACTTACTCGGACCCTAAACCCTACCTAAACCCTAACCCTACACCCTAAACCCCCGCAACCATTCTCATCATCATGATTGCGCGCACAAAGCCTATCATGAATCCTAAAGACTGCATACCCTGAAGAAGCCCTAACCCAAACTCCGAACCCCTAAAGCCTGAATCCAACACCCCAAACCGTAAACGCTTAAAGCCCAAACCCTACACAGCCGCATATACCTCTACATCACCCTATGTAAGCCTATAAAGCCCTACATAACCCTATAGAACCCCAAACACTATATGAACAAACCCAAACCCTAAACCCCCTAATCGCTCGTTTCTATGGCTACCAGGGCTTTGCGGTCTGCTCCGGGTCGCATCAGCCAAGCCGTGCCAAGAAAGATCCGTTCTTGGACAAAGGCACTGCACCTGGGTTTAGGCTTCAGGGTTGTGTAGGGGTTAGATTGGGATGTAAAGGCTTATACGGGGTAGAAAGGGGTGTATAGGGTTATATACGGGCATGTTGGGATGTATAGGGCTATACGCGATTACAGAGGGGTTCTGGGATTACATTGAGTCATGCAAGGTTATACAAGAATATACAGGGACAGCGTCCACAATGGAGAACGAAATGGAAAGGGAAATGGAAATGGAATGGAATGAGGGCTGAGGGATTTGTTCTTAGGATTAAGGGCTTTCGGTTTAGTGGTTAGGTGTTAGGGTTTGAGATCTAGGGTGTGTGCGCGCTGCGTAAGCCTTGCGAAATTGCATGTACCCTAGACCCTAAACCGGAACCCTTCTGGCTTCCGGCTCAAGTTTAGGGCTTAGTGCTCGGGACTTGAGGCTTGGGTTTAGGTTTGGTGGTATAGGGTGGAGGATCGAGGCTCCTAAGAGTTTTGGGTTGAAGGTTGAGGTTGCAGAGTGTAGGGTTTTTGAAAGCTCTCTTTACAAGAGCTACATGGTGGCCTGCCATTTCAAATACTGTTCTCAAAATGGAGTATAGCACACACGTTGAGCACGC